TTAAAGGTGTCCAAAGATTACAAATTTTACTTGAGGGTATATGCTTTTAAATTTATATATCAATCAAGTACATCAAACTTTTTTTAAAAAACAAATTCACAAATTGTCTCGGTTCGGTGTTGAGAACTCAGAACAATGGTACTTTGTTAATTTTACCCCTAAAGAAGCCCTAATTAAATAATAATTTGAGATAAAATTATCAAAGTACCCCTAATTGGGTGGCCGGACTTCGCTCGATCACAAAGTGAGTGAGTTTGCTGCTCGAGTCCAATCTCAGTGTTCAAGAAAGGCCTTGGCTAACTTGGAATTTTTGTTTTTGTTTTAACATATAAAATTAGTACTTATATTTATATAAGAAAACATACCGTTAAAATGGGCAAACCACCTCAAAAAAATCAATGAGATGGTTAAAATTAATCAAATTTTCAACGAAGCAGTTAGTTTTAAAAGTGTTTTCCCCTAAGTATCTCCTCTACCTTTTGTTATAAAGTACCCAAAATAACCCTTTTCTACGTTTAGAATCCTAAACAAGTACGATAATCTAGTGATTTTTTTATTTAAGTCACTCAAGCTAAATGATTTTAATACTTGTAGATGTTCCAAATTCAGAACAACTATTTTTTTTTATTAAAGTATAACCTACAACAAGCCAAGGATTTTATGTCATTTATCTCGGGTGACTTAAGTGGGGCAAATTACCAAAATGCTCCACTTGCTCAAGGTTTCGATTCTGAATGCAAATTTTCCCATTAAAAAAATTTATTCTAATTTTTGAACTTGAAACAACTAAGACTATCTAAGTCATTTGGCTCAAAAAAACTTAAAGCAGGTCCAATTATCAGCCCTCACTTGTTTGCCGGAGACAGACACAAATTGGAAACGCTGCAGATTATGAAGGAGAACATTTGATTGAGTTTGGGGTGTTCTGGTTCTATCTTATTTTCTTCTGGTTCCTTTCTCCTTGATTTATTTAAGTTAGAGGCTGAAGATCGGTGAAGAGCTGCTCATCTTAGTTAAAGGGTTTCTCTTTGTAATGTGTAATGGGTAGAGTTCTTTGTGTCACAAAACATTTGGCTTTTGAGTTCTCATTGTTGTGTTGTGGCCCAAACAAACTCTACCACTGAAGTTCAAGGCTTTCCTTGTATTTTTATTGCCCTTTTAGCTTTTATTTAGATGGAATGTGTTGAAGATTTTCTTTAATCAGATAAATGCCATTTATCAATTTTTTTCGTCCAAGATAATACGTTTTTTCTCTCTCATGATACTCGATTCAGTTCTAATGTCAAATAGAAGTCAAAAAATGATAATTTTTAAAATGGATATATCATTTAAGGGTTCAAAGCCCCTTGCAAAATCTTCAAGAGAGTCAAAAGATCCTAACAAGTAATATATAATTTATTTTCTAATCTTTCATTTCATTCAAGTACTTCCTTAAAAAATACCTTGAAATTGCCTAATAGCTCTTGTTTAGGATTTGATAATCCTAAACAATTGTAGGTATTTTAGTAATTTGACCCAACCTGAATAAGATGCATCATGGCAACTTTCACAGTGGAAAAATAAGAGAATTAACATTTACAATGAGACAATGCCCTCACTGTGTAAGGAGTGGACATTCAAGTTTAAAATCTAGGGCAGATGAATTTTTAACATTAGTTTTCAAATGCAATTTTTCATTATCATTGTTAAAACTTTTTTCATACTAATTGAAGTCGACTACACGAATTTTATTCCTCCATTATGCTCTTTTAAGAGTCATTACCCCCTCAATGATGCCATACGTCTCCATATCATTTATCACTACTTCCAACTATGTCCTTTTGGGTCTACCATTTGCTTTTTTAAGCCTTCCACTTGAACTAACTCGCACCTCCTAACAGATATTGTACTGGGTATGCGATATACATGGCCAACCCAACTAAGTCTCAATCTCTCATCTTATCACCTACAAGTGCCACACCTAAATTTATCCGAATATATTCATTTCGAACTTATCCCTTTTTGTCTTGCTACTCATCTATCTCAACATCCTCATCTCCGCTACACTCATTCTATAGATATATTGTTTGTTAACCGTCCTACACTCCGCCTCATAGAGCAAAACTAGTCTTTAAGGCGCCCCAAACATTGGGTGCTCAAATTCTCATCCCATAAAGAGAGAGGTGTCATATAAACAATACAAGAATTTATATGTAATGCATCAAAATGAAAGACCAAGTACCCAAAAAACAAAGCATTATATGGCTCAAAAGGCCACCTGGTCATTAAACTATTCCTCATAATAGAAGCCCAGAAATAACATTAGAATTACAACCTCTCCCTCAACTATTATTGAGGTTTAATAATAGGGTGTGGTTTGCATATGGTTGGAACCCAAATAATAAGATGCACCTCCAAATAGTATCATAATATGTAATTTTGGAGTAAAAAATTCTTTAGATGGCCTGAAAATCTATTTTCATCTCCAAATGTGAAATTTTAAACTCCAAAAACGGAACTTTCCTCATCACCTCTTGCCTATGGCGGAACAGAACTGTAAACATATGAAAGTCTTGAAATTGGACAGTCCAGATAAAGTGTTGTAAGATGTACTATTTTTCGGACTCAAAATCTTCTTTTGTTTTTATATTCATACATCTCGATATCGAAATGACCAATTTGAGGGTTTTTCAATATTAAAACAGTATTTTCCGATGGACTTTTAGGTGCACCTCAGTTCTACATTTTAAGGTTGCAACTTATACAAACTTTTTCCTTGATAATATGTGGACGTTCATTTCGTCTTACTTGTATCACGCAATCAATATTAATCCATCTCACAACACAATTAATCCATGTTTACAAATATGATACACGATAAACAAAAAGAAAGAAAATATAGTATTAAGGAACCCTCTCTAAATATAAGAAAACAATGCTGTAAGTAAAAAAATAATAATCAAATTACTCAAAAATTAAACCTCAGGGTTCAAACCCAACAGATTAATGGCCGCTTTCAAGAACCTGGACAAGCTCTTCCTGAATAACAAAAGAAAAGGCAAAATTACAACATTATCCATAAAAAGTTTGGAGACCATTTTAATTTATAACACAACATTTCCCAACTAAGTTTGGTCAAAAAAGAGCAAGCCCAGCTATTTGATCGTAAAAACCACCGTTGTCCAATTCTCTTTGGAGTCTTCTTCAGGTTGACGAGAAAAATGAAGCAATTTGGTGCCTTGGCCAATTCAAAAGAAGGCTTACGGACTTTTTTAAAAAAAATTTAAAGTATAATAAATAATATATTATATATATATATATATATATATATATATATATATACAAATAATGGAAAAATTAAAAATTTAACAATTTAAAAAATTAAAAAAATACATTTATATAGTTATTTCTTTGTTGGCGGAAGCATACTCAAAGCAAACCCGAAGCAAACCAAATTTGACCGAAGTAACCCGAAGCGGCAGCACAACGCTTCACTACTCTTCGATTTATGCCTAAAATCCGAAGGCTTCGGCCTCTTCGGCCGAAGCAAAGTGAATTTGATAACATTGATAAAAACCACAAAGAAAGGCAAAATATTTCTACCGATCCAAAACATGGACATTCAACGATGCCATGAGCAAAGGCATTTTTCTTCATTAGAAATGATATTGATGATATTTTCACTACAAGACAAATAATCATGGAGTGAAATTCTAAATATTTTCTTAATTTAAATGCCCTTGTCTTTCAGTAAAAAAAAAAAATTATATAATGCCTAGGCTCTAAACAATCAAATTACAGCCCACCTCAAAATTTTCACTAGAAGAGGTTGTTTTGATGCCAAAATATCCTGAAATTGATCATCGGGACATCAAGATATATGGACATGAGAAAAAAATGGATTTCAAGTTTTGAAAATAGTGCATCTTGTAATGTATTTTTGGACTGTCAATTTTCAAAATTTTCAAGTTTTTATAGATCTGCTAAATCTACACTATTTTTTAAGCTTTAAATTTAAAACTTAAAGATGAACATATATTTTAAGGCTAACACAAAGATTTTCAGTATTAAAACCACATTTCTCGACAGTATTTAGAGCCTTGGCTCTATATAAACCGCAACTTTTAGTAAATATTTCAAATATACCATTATCAAGAGGGTTTGGTTTCTATAAGGTTGCAACCTTAAATAATTCAATTAAGGACCTCCAAATTTTATCATGATATGTAATTTGGTATTAAAAATTATTAAGATTATCTAAAAAACTATTTTCATCTATAATTATAAAATTTTAAATACCAAAAATGGCTAAAATCAAACAGATCTATAAACATATGAAAATATTGAAAATGGACAGTCTAGATAATGTGTTGCAAGATGTATTATTTTTGAGACTCAAAATCGTTTTTTTTTTTTTTTACATTCATACATGTCAATGTCGAGATGATTATCAAAGGGTTTTTAAACATTAAAACAACATTTTCCAATGGATTTTTTAGGTGCATCTTTAATTCTACATTTTAAGGTTACAACCTTATATAAACTATTTCCTTATGCAAACATACCTATAGCAAATGTCAACACTATCCTTTCTAATAACAACAATACTCTTACTCATTTTATAATAATAGAATAAAGAAAAAAACAACAAAAATAATTTTAAAAAAAATATCCCTATATCCTCTATTTTAGGTTTCATTTCTTGATAAACCCAAGGTTTTAAAAGATATCTTCTAACCCCTGACTACTTTAAACCTATTTTTTAACTTAAACAAATGCGAGAAAAACATGCTCATTCTAAACCCAATCATTTCTCTCTCTTTACTTATATACTTCAAACTTCTCTCTTTCTCTCTCTTCCTACGTCTCTTTCTCCTCCCGATAACCTCTCTCCTCATAAATTCCAACTCAATCATTTCTCTCTCTTCAATTTTATACCTCCAACTTCTCTCTCTTTTTATGCGTCTCTCACTCTCTCCCCTCTCTCCTCTTGGTAACCTCTCATCTCCGTGAAATCTGTGAATCCATGAAAGTCCTCTGTATAACACCAATTCAAACAAGAATATTTTTTTTGGAAAGTATCTCAATAATTCCTCTCTACACAAATCAAGGTCAAAGTAGCCCAAATACCCAATAAAATACCCTCCCTCTTCTATAATTCCTCTCTCCAAACATCTTTGTCAACCAACACCATCAAGAGCCCCATTCTTTCTCCAGCAAAATAATGGCAAAAAATGGCCAAAATTAGAGGAGACAAGACGGTGATGAAGCTTTGAATGAGCTAAGAGTTTTGTGTTTGAACGGTGAGATTAAGCTCAGATCTCATGAGAGAGGCTCAGGGTTTGCTTGAAGAAGCTTTGATCCATAAGATTCAAGGAATTATGGAGAGCTGATCGGGTTTATGCGGGAGTAGCTTTCTCTACGCTCTCTTGTGTCCCTCTATCTATTGTTCTCTTTCTCAATCTGTATACCATGTAATTGGGAGGAGAGAGAATGAAAGGAGAGAGATGGGAAACATGAAGAGAGTGGGAGGAGAAAGAGTGAGAGAGAGATGGGAAATATGAAGAGAGAAAAGGGTACAGGGCGAGAGAGAAAGAGAGAGAAGTTTGGGAGGATAGCTTTTAAAAAAGGTACGTCTTTTTAGATTTGTTTGGCCTTAAAAAAATAAATTTAAATTAGCTTAGGAGATTAGAAGAAATAAAATCTACAATTTTTATACCCTAAGCTATCTTTTAAAACCTTTGGTCTATTGCGAAATGAAACCTAAAAATATAGGGTATGA